TATGTGTATGCATGTATTGCCTGCATGTAGGTAAGTGCACCTGTGTCATGCAATGCCCGTGGAGGTCAGAAGAGGCTGTCAGATCCCCTGGGACTGGAGTTACAGACAGTAGTTAGCTGCCATGTGGGTGCTGGGATTCGAACCCAGGTCTTCAAGAACAACCATCTCTCCAGCCCCCAATTAAAAATATTTTTATGGGGAAATTATGGGCCTTGGGTTCTACACAGACTAGCAAGAAGGCTTTGCAGGTTACTGAATAATGTCCAAGTGTCTTGTTTTGTTTATTTTTTGTCTTTTTGAGACAGGGTCTCCCTGTAGGCCCAGCTGCCTGAACTCACTATGTAGACCAGGCTGGCCTTGAACTCACAGAGATCCACCTGCTTCTGCCTCCCAAGTGTTGGGACTAAAGGCTTGTGCCACCCCAGCTCAAGTGTCTTGTTTTAAATTTCACTTTAAGCTAGGTGTGGTGGTGATGCCTGTAGCACTCAGAAAGCTGGGAGTGGGAGCTTGACAAGATCGTGAGTTTGTGACCGTCCTGGGCTATAAGTTCAGATGGCTTGTCTTATAGAGCTAGACCCTAACTGGAAAGAACAACGAAAGCATTTTTCCTTACTGTTTTTTTCTTTTTCTTTTTTTGTCTTTTTGAGACAGGGTCTCCCTATAGCCCCAGCTAGCCTGGAACTCGCTATGTAAACCAGGTTGGCCTCAAACTAACAGAGATCCGTCTGCCTCCCAAGTGCTGGGATTAAAGGTGTGCGCCACCACACCCGGCTTAGTGCAATGTTTTAAGGGTCTCTGTGCCACCATCCCGGCTCCTTATTGTTTTTTAAAGGGCCTGTTCTATAAACTGAGCAGGGAATCATGGTTATAATTCCAGTACTCCAGAAGTAGAGTCAGGAGGATCAGGATTTCGGGGTTAGCCTCTGCTAACTTCAAGGTCAGGGCTACATGAGACATTGACTATGGGAAAACAGAAAGGGAGGGAGGGAGGGAAAGAGAAAGAATGGAGGAAGGAAGGAAAAGAAAGAAAGAAAGAAAGAAGAAAGAAAGAGAGAGAGAAGGAAAACGCATCCCCTTATATGTCAATTTTAAAGTAAGTTCACGCTGTAGGAAGAGGATTTAAAAATAAAGTCAGCTGGGTGTGGTGGCGCATCTCTTTGATCCCTCCAAGGCAGATCTCTGTGTTTGAGGCCAACCCGGTCTACCCAGCTAGTTCCAGGCCACCCAGTGCTGTGTAGCGAAAAAAAAAAAAAAAAAAAAAAAAAAAAACTAAATTAATTAACAAGTTTAATATTTAAAGTCAGGTAGCCAGAAAAAAATGGTGATGTAATAAATATTCCCAATGAGTGGAGTCAGTGACACTATCACCTTTTAAGGCTTGCTTCTATAGTATCTCTGTAGTCTCAGACCTAAGCAGGAAAATTGCTTTGTTAATAGGTAGTCATGGGGACTGGAGAGATGGCTCAGCCGTTAAGAGCACTAACTGCTCTTACAGAGGACCTGGGTTTGATTCCCAGCACCCACATGGTGGCTACGAACCATCCTTAACTCCAGTTCCAGGGGAATCCAAAGCCCTCTTCTGACCATTAGGGCATTGCACTATATGGGTGCACTCACATTCATGCAGGCAATACACTCATACACATAAAATAAAAATAATAAATAAAATATCTTTTTAAAAAAATAGTCGTGTTTGCTAGCTCTGAGCACGTCTGCAAATTACCCAGAGATGATCAGAGCTGAGTATCATAGGATAATGACCTCACGTTTCATACTGACTCCCTGGCCCTGCTTCAGGCTCTGCATCACTCTGCTTTTACTGCTTTTAAGCAGCTTCTGCTGAGTAATGCTCATTTCCTAGGGTTTATTTTGGAGCTTCAAGGAAGGAAAAAAAAAAACAGAATTTTTTCTTTTTAAGCCAGGTATAACATCATGCCTATAATCATAGCATTTGGGAGATGGAGTCAGAAGGATCAGGAGCTACATATTGAGTCTAGCCTTGGCTATATGAAACCCTGTCTGAAAAAAAACACCACAAAAAAAATTGCTTTTTGTTTGTTTGAGCCAGGATCTTCCCCAGGCTGGCCCCAAACTCAGAATCCTCCTGCCTGAGCCTTTTGAGTTGCTAGGATTATTCAACTTTTTTTGTTGTTTTAAATGTCAAAAGGTCATGCATGGACGGGAAGATATGGCTTAGCAGTTAAGAACATGTGTTGATTCCCAGCACCCATGTCAGGTGCTCACAAATGCCTGGAGCTCCAGTTCCAGGGTATCTATCATCTTCTAGGGGCATTCTCCTGCACACATGTGCCATACATATCTACATCCACATAAAATAAAACATAGCTGGGCATGGTAGCACATACCTTTAAGCTCAGCAGATGGATCTCTGTGAGTTCAAGGCCAGCCTCCTCTACATAATTGAGTTCCAGGTCAACCAGGACTACATAGTAGGACCTTGTCTCCAAAAAAAAAAGGGGGGGGAAGGGGGCTGGAGAGATGGCTCAGCAGTTAAGAGCACTGGCTGTTCTTGCAGAAGACCCAGGTTTGAATCCCAGCACCCACATGATGAATAATAACTCCAGTTCCAGGGAATTCAACATCTACTCCTGTTCTCTGCAGGCACTGTACAACATGAGTGCACTTACATGCAGGCATAATATTCATACACATAAAATAAAAATAATTCAACTCCCTGGCAATGGAAAAAAATTAAAAAAAAAAAAAAAGGTCAAGGTCACTCTGGGTTGGGAGATGGCTCAGTGGGTAAGACTGCTTTCTGTGCAAGCATAAAGACACGAGTTCAAATCCCCAGAACCCACTGAAAATGCCAGATGTTATTGTGATTTCTTCATATGCCTGTAGCCTCAGGGCTGAGGAAGGTTTGATGGATTACTGGACCTCATACCCTCCCATGTGATTAAGGGGGAAAAAAGCAAATTCTGAGACCAGGTATGGTGGTACACATCTGAAATCTTAGCACTCAGGAAGATTGTCATAAATTTGAGGCTGTCTGGCCAGGTGTGATGGCCCATGCCTTTAGTCCCAGCAGTCAGGAGGCAGAGGCAGGCGGATCTTTGTGAGTTCAAGGTCAGCCTGGTCTACAAAGCGAATTCCAAGCCAGCTGAGGTTACAGGGAAACCCTGTCTCAAAAATACCAAAAAAGAAAAAAAAAAAAATTGAGACCACCCTAGACTACATGTTGAGTAACAGAATAGCCAGGGTTACATAGTAAGACCCTGTCTCAGAAAACAACCAAAAAAATTCTCAATCTGTTGTGGTAGCCCATTCCTATAATCCCAGCACTTCTGGGATATTTCAGCAGGAGGATCTTGTGTTCAAGGCCAGCCTAAGCTACATGGGTTCTTTTATTTTATGTATGTATGTGTTTTGCCTATGTGTAAGTATACCACTTGTATGCAGTGCTTGCAGAGGTCAGAAGAGGTCCTTGGAAACCCTGGAACTGGAGTTAACAATGGTTGTTAGCTACCATGTGGGTGATAGGAATTGAACCCAGGTCCTCTGCAGAGCAGGCAGTACCCATAACTGCTGGATCCATCTCTCCAGCCCCAGAGTTTCAAGCCAGACCTTGCCTCAAAAATAAATAAACAGGGGCTGTAGAGATGGCTCAGTGGCTAGGAGCACTGGCTGCTAACCACCCTCCTTAACTCCAGTTCCAAGGGATCCAGCGCCCTCTTCTGACCTCCTCAGGCATTGTACAACATGGGTGTACTTATGTACAGGCTGTATACTCGTACACATAAAAATAATAAATAAAATATAGAAAATAATCTCTGCCCTAGCCACTTAACCACTCCTAAAGCCCCACATTCTTACAGATCATTGTGTAGATTCAGGTTCTTTTTCTACTTTGGTAGACGTTTCCCATCATCTGGGGGCATTTTGGAACCTACTTAAGGTCACAGGACTGATGACAGCCAATAGAATGTGCTAGAGAAAGGCTTTTGAAACTTTGTCATCTATTTTTGGCAGCAGTGGAATGTTCTTTTGGCTCCTTTGGGAACATTTCAACTAAAGCTTCTTACCCCTTCCCTTGGCTACTAAGTAACAGGGTGGAGGCTCCAGAAGGTTCTAATTGTAGACACCCTTAGAACAGGGTATGGGCAGCATGAAAAGCAAAGGTGCTAGAACTGCTCAGTAAAACATTGAAAGAGCTAATTCTCCTTCCGATCTAAATGTCACTTCCTTATCTGGTACTTCAATTTGTTTACTCTCTCTTGTCAGATATACTCTGGTATTGGGATCAGAGGGAAAAGATCCTGTTACAGCATAAGAAAATTCTTCTAGCATTTGGGTTTTGTTCTGCAAAGAGGTAGGCCAGAGAGACATAAATGAAGACCTATCACCATCTGGACAGATAAGTGAAAATAGCATTGTCCACTGTGTTAGTGAGGGAAAATTAATCAGCAGCCATGACTGTATGTAAAAACCTAGGTATGAACACAGAAAGTAAGCTGTTTTTAACCCATAAAGAAACATTCAGGGTTGGAGAGATGGCTCAGTGGTTGAGAGCACTGCTCTTGCAGAGAACCTGAGTTTGATTCCCAACACCCACATTAGGAGGTTCACAACCACCTGTAACTCCAGTTCTAAGGGATCTGATAACCTTCTGGCCTCTGCAGGCACTATATTCATATGCACAAACCTATACTCTCCCCAACACACAAACACATAAAAATAAAAGTTTGGGGCTAGAAAGATGACTCAGTGAGAGCACTGGCTACTTGCACTGGTGTGTACAATGCCCACAGAGGTCAGAAAAGGGCATTGGATCCCTTGGAGTCACCAACAGTTGCTAGCTGCTGTGAGTGCTGGGAACTGAACTGCAAGACCAGTCCACTACAAGAGCAGCCAGTGCTCTTAACTGCTGAGCCATTTCTGTAGTCCTAGCACTAGATATTTTTTCAGAAGACCCAGGTTCAGTTCCCAGCACCCACATGCTAGAGGCCAAAAGAAGGTGTCAGATCCCTTGGAACTGGAGTTATAGCTAACAGCCATCTGTAACTGTAGTTCCAAGGGATGCCCTCTTCTGGCCTCTGTGGCCAGTGCCTTTACATACATGTAGGCAAGACACTCATACACATAAAATAAAAATAATTTAAAAATTTTAAAAAGAAACTTTAAGTCTGCTTAAGGAGATAAGTACATAAAACACATAACAATGATTTGTAACCCCCAAATTATGGAGTTAGGTGAAACTACAGGGTATTAAGAAAGGTACTAGAGGCAGTGGGGTAGTTGGAGCTGAATTACCTTGGGGAAGTTGTCCCAGAAGAGGTTTTTATAGTACCGTTTAGAAAACAAGAAGAAAAATAGAAAGTAGAATGTGAGGAAAGGCCTTTTCAGAAGTGTTGTGACTTATTAAACCAGGCAGGAAGAAGCTAAATAAGGCTAGGAATGTGCCTAGCACATGCGAGGTTCTGAGTTTGAGTCTCAGAACAATTAATTAAATATTTGGTCAGGCCTACTGGAGTAATCCCAACTACTCAGGAGGCTGAGACAGGGGGATTTCAAGTTCAAAGTCAGATTAGGCAGTTGACTGAGATCTTGTCTTAAAATAAAGGTAAAAAGAATGCTGGGGACTATAACTCAGTGATACAGCACCTGCTTGGCATGAGCTAGTTCCTGTACCCTTCAGTACCACACACAATGTTAAATATTTATAAATATGGTAGGGTAGGGTAGGGTAGGGAAGGGAGTTCTCTAGACCTAGAGTTTTGGAACTTGGGAAGGAACAAATAGATTAAAACAGGAATGAGTATAACTACAATAAACAGAAGCTGTACTGCTGCTGAAAACCTCAAAAATCAGCCCCAGGAGCTGGAGATAGAGCTCAGTGACGTGCTTGCCTAGTATGCATAAGGCCCTGGGTTTATTACTGAAAAAAAATCTGATAAACTTGATGTGGTAGGCAGTGCCTAAGTCATTCCAAGATGGAGAAAAGTTAGGACATGGTGAAAAACCATCATAGAGAAGAATTCCTGATACTTGTGTTAGAAAACTTGGATTACGGGTTGGAGAGATGGCTCAGTGATTAAGAACACTGAATGTTCTTGCAGAAGACCTGGGTTTGAATCCCAGCACCCACATGGTAGCTAACAACTGTCAGTAACTCAGTTCCAGGGAATCCAACAGCCTCTTCTGTCTTCCAAGGGCATTGCACAACATGGGTGCACTTACCTACATGCAGGCAATACACCATACACACAAAATAAAAATAATAAATATTTAAAAAATAAAAATAATTATTTTATTTATTTATTTATTTTTTTTGGTCTTTTCGAGACAGGGTCTCCCTGTAGCCCCAGCTGTCCTGGAACTCACTATGTAGACCAGGCTGGCCTTGAACTCAGAGATCCGCCTGCCTCTGCCTCCCGAGTGCTGGGATTAAAGGCATGCGCCACCACAGACCCTGTCTCAAAAAGACAAAAAAAAAAAACTTGGATTACTACCAAGGCAAATGGAGATGTGACACTTATGCAAGGAAGGATTGGGAGCTTGCTCTAAGCATGAAAACTGACCAAAGGTTTCTTTTTTCCTAGGGAGTTATGAGGGACCCTGTGAGTAGCCAGTATAGTTCCTTTCTTTTCTGGAGGATGCCCATCCCAGAATTGGATCTGTCGGAGCTGGAAGACCTGGGCCTGTCAGATATACCCACCTATAAGATGAAGGGCAGCAGCGCTGGCAAAATGAGCGGGCAAGCAACTGGAGCAGAGCAGGAGAAAAGCCCTGAAGATGATACCCTCCTTGAGTACAGCACCTTCAACTTCTGGAGAGCGCCCATTGCCAGCATCCACTCCTTTGAATTGGACTTGCTTTAAGGTCAAGACTGCTCTCTCCCACCATCGTACCCTCATTGTCATTGCCTCTTGAACCCTCCCTTTCTGTCCCGTTCCCATTTTAATATTATTCACTTCCCTCTATTGTGTTGGTGGTGCTGATGAATCTGCCATTGAATTGTATTTATTTATTATTTATTTATTTACTTGCCTACCTACTCCACTTCTCTCAAAAGCTCTCAAGCCACAGAGGGTTTAAGCAATGGAGTACTAGATCATAGGAATTCCTCCTCAGTCCCCAGGGGTTATTAACTGACTCTAGAAAACGATCCCTATTGGGCACCAGAGAGTAGTACCATTCTGCAAAGTGGAAAACTGATTTTTCTTTTTTTTTCAAATTCCATTTTAATCAGTGTCAAAGATTACTGGAACTTTTCTAGTTTCCTGCACCAGGCCAGTAAGCAAATATTTTTTCAAGAGTTGGTGAAAACCTTGAAGTTTTGAGATGATTTACTACAAACCAGGATTTCTAAAAGGCTAAGGTAATAAGTCCTATTCTTGTGGTATGTTCTCTTCCCCCAGAAACTTGGGTGTAGTTAAAGATGAAAAGCAAGAGGAAGTAATACATTGTGGAAAATGAAAACGGACAATCATTGAATCATTTCCAAGATGGCTAAACAGAGTTCCTTCAGCCTGCTCACCTCACAGCTTTGCTTCCAACTGTTTGAAAACTCAGAAAATCAGTTTTCAGTGTTAAAGAAGAAACCTTGCTATTAGGGTAATTTGTAAAAGGCTAATAAAGAGTTCTATGATCTGAAGAGAAACTAGAGTATTAGGATAATTGTTGAGGGTTTGGTCCTTGCTTTCTCATACTTGCAGTATGTGATAGAGACCAATGGCCCCAGGCACAGTTCTTCAGCTACCTTAGGATCATGAAATGAGCAGTTCTATCAAACCCTACACCTGTCCCCACTCCTTCCAAAATCATTGCTGATTTGTGCTGCCCCTTACTATTTAATAAAGATGTGAAGTCCCAAGTGCGAGTTCTAGATTTTTTTTTCCTCAGCGTCTCACTACAGATCTCAGAAACCAGTCACGCTTTCACATGACACTTTTTATCTTTCTGATATTCAACTTTGAGGAACGATTGTTTAAGCAGTGGATGTAGCTCAGTGGTAGAATGCTTGCCTGGCATCTCCAAAGCCTTGCGTTCCATCTCAAGTACAAAAACAAAACAAAATGATCTGAGTAGTATTTATACATTAAATGGCAAACTTAAGGTTCAATAGATAGGTCACAAAGAAAAGGGCAAAATCAACTTAAATTTAGAGAAGTAGAGAAAAACTACAACGCTTTGAAGAGTAGAAAAGCTCCTCTCCTGCTTGCCCATTGTATCTTTCAGGTACTATGTTTCAAAGGTACCTAGGAAAATAAACTTACCTGAAATACATTATCTGCTTGTTTTGTAGCTCACCTCTTCCAAAAATCTCAAACAAAAAATTGTTTTCTTAATAGATGAACACACTGAGTTAGACAATATTAGAGGATATAAACAGAAGTGAGTCAAGATTCTGACTAAGGGATGGGAGTAGTGGCTACACTTGAGAGAGGTAAAAAGGCAGGCTGGCCTGCGCAATGGCGCATACCTTTAATCCCAGCGGTTGGCAGACAGAGGAGGGAAAATCTCTGTGAGTTCAAGGACAGCCTGGTCCTACATAGGGAGTTCCAGGCCAGCTGGGGCTACAGGGAAACCCTGTCTCAGAAAGACCCCCTCAAAAAAAGGAGGATCAGGAGTTCAAGGCCAGTCTCCTCTGCATAGTGAATGAGGCAAATCTGGGCTACAAGGGGGTGAGGGGCAGAGAGGATTCTGACTCTTGAAAGAAAAAGAACAAAAATTATGGATAGTTCTGCATAGGTTGCTTTAAAGATGACATCATTGGAATTTAGAGAAATTTGGAGGGGAAGACATGAAACTCTTAGGCCTCGAAAGGTCTACCATTAACAACCAAGGCTAAAGTTTAATAATTTTTTTAAAAAAGAGCCAGGAAAGATAAATCTTTTTCTATTGTTACTTTTTTTTCTATTGTTACTTTTTTTGCCTCTGCCTCCTGAGTGCTGGGATTAAAGGCGTGTGCCACCATGCCCTGCAGGGGTTATTTTTATTTTGTGTATGAGTGTACTGCCTGTATGTGTGTAAGGGCACCCATATTGTGCAATGGCTGAGGCCAGAAGAGGCCTTCGCATCCCCTGGAACTGGAATTATAGTTGTTAGCCACCATATGGGTGCTGGGAATCAAACCCAGGTCCTCTGCAAGAACAGGCAGTGCTCTTAACTGCTAAGCCGTCTCCCCAGTCCCTTGCTTTTTTTTTGAGACAGGGTCTGTGTATCCCTGGCTAGCCAGAAACTCACTATGTCAACCAGGCTGGCCTCAAGCTCAGAGATCCATCTGCCTCCTGAGTATCAAGATTACTTTCGTGAATGCCCAGCAAGACTTTTTTAAAAAATATCTTATTATTTTTATTTTTTATGTGTATGAGTGTTATGCCTTCATGTAGGTTAAGTGCACCCGTGTCGTTCAATGCCCACGGAGGACAAAAGAGGCTGTTGGAGTCCCTGGAACTGGAGTTACAGACAGTTGTAGCTGCCATGTGGGTGCTGGGAACTAAACCTGGGTCTCTGCAAGAACAAACCAGTGTTCTTAACCGCTGAGCCATCTCTCCGGCCCCCGAAAAACTTCTTAGACGGTTTTGCCTATATTGGCCTGGAACTCGATATATGTGCGGCTGCTCAAAAATTTGTAGCCATCTACCTGTCTCAGTCTCCCTAGTGCTGGTATTTCTGGTGTTGGACCACACCTAGCTTTGTTGAGATGTGAAGGGTTTCTTTCCTGGCTCCTGAAAGTCCTTTATTTGGTGAGTAGATAAATTAGTGAATGAAATGACCAAAAAGTTTTGCAAATTCCTGCTCCATCCTCTGCCAGGCTTCCTCAAAGGGAACATTGGCCCTGGTGGTTAGCTTGGGTCTTTTTTTTTTTTAATTACTTTTATGTGTATGAATGTATTGCCTGCATGCAAGTGCACCCCTGTTCTGCAACGGAGGTCAGAAGAGGTCGTCGAATACCCTGGAACTAGAGTTAAGGACGGTTCGTACCCGCCATGTGGGTGCTGGGAATCGAACCCAGGTTCTCTGCAAGAGCAGCCAGTGCTCTTAACCGCTGAGCCACTTATCCAGCGCTAGCTTGGGACTTCTACTCGGGCGGTAACTGGGGACGTGTCGGGTCAGGCACGGAGACCGAGCACTGCTCAGCCATGCATATCCCAAGGAAGCACTCGTCTGGCAGCCTAGGCTACCCTGCGAGGGACCAGTGACAAGCTGAGTGCAAGCTCCGGAACCGCGAAGTTTTCTCAACGGGCGCGCGTTCGCGCCAAAACGCTCATCCCGGTCCGCCCCGCCGGAACTATGCCTCACGTCGGACACGTCACCATGACCCTGCGCCCAAGTAGTCCAGGTCACGATGTCTCGGGTCCGCTCATCTCAAGCTCCAGACGTCCTCAGTAGAAAGCAGTACGCGGCCGGAGGTGCGTCGTCGCCCTGGCCGAGAGAACGCGGCTTTCGAGATCAGTTTCCCACAGATTCCTCGGCCGGAAGGCTCTGTAGCCGCGCCTGCACTTCCGGGTCCGCCATTTTACTCCCTTGATTTCTACAGGGGGGGGAGGTCCCCCAAATAGGCATAAGCGGAAAGTCCCCAAAGTGACGGTTGCTGACAGGGAGGTTTAACTAGAGACAGGAACAGGAGCAAACTGGCGGGCCCGGTGAAAGCGCAGCCGGCAGCGTCCCGGAGGCGGAGGTGAGGAGAGGAGGCGCGGGGCGTCGGGGAAGCTGCGGTGACATGTGTGGCCACCAGCCCACCCCGACCAGTGGGCCGCAGGCAGCCGGGGTGGGGAGAGGGCCGGAGGAAGGGGATGCTGTCGGGAGGAAGGGGAGGGGACTGGAGGAGGGGAAGGAGCGGGCGATTGGAAGACCTGGGGCTGTGGAGCTGGACCGCGGGCAGCCAGGGCCGCAGAGGGGACCACTAGGAGGCGTCGCAGGGCTCAGGTCGACTCCCCTTTTGGGAGAAGACCGCGGTGCTATGCAGAGCTGGAGAATGTGCTACCGAGGAGGAATGGGGACTCAAGGTCCCCGGCAGTAACGCCAAGTCAGGGAGCGCCTGATATAAACTGGAGCCTGACATCCAGTTCTTGCACAGTTGTTTGTACAGCTGGCCACCCAGTGGGGTCGTGTGCCGAGAGCAGGAGGGAGGGAGGGAGGGAGGGAGAATGAATGAATATGATCATTAGACCGTGTCTGTTTCCATTAGATTTCTTGTGTTCTAACAGATTTCCTTGAGCCGTCATTCCCTTCCTCTCCCTCCCTTAAAGGTTTTTCTCTAGTGTCTGTCTCAACAACTTGTGTAGAGTAACAATCTATGGCATACCTTCAGCAGTTTTTTACCATCTAGAACCATATTCACCTACCATTTAATATTCCTAGTCCGTTAGAGATGTTCTTAAGCATCTGTTTTCCAATTTAGAGGAATTAACTCTCTTCCTTCCACGATGTGGGCCCTTAGGATCAAACTCAGGTTGTTAGGCTTGGCATCTTTACCTGCTGAGCCATTGGGCCTCTAAAATGCTGTTATTTTAAAGGTAACATTTTAATTTAGATAGATGCTTCAGGGTAAATCAAGAGTAACTGAGGAACATAACCTTTAATTCCAGCGCTCAAGGCAGCTGGGAGAATCTCTGTGAATTCCAGGCCAGGGCTAAATAATGAGACTCTGTCTTTAAAAAAAAAAAAAAAAAGTAACAGGATATGGAAAGTTTGAAATAGGATGTTTCTGTGAAGCCCAGGGTGGCCTCAAATTTACTATCCTCCTATTCCAGCTTCCCAAAGTGCTGATTACAGGCAAATATGCCTGATGCCCAGCATGACTTCATTTTTGTTTTGATTACCTCCCACCCCCCTGCTTGTCTCTAAGCAATATTCTCTGAAGACAGCTTGGAATCTGGTGGTTTGATCTCGACTGTCATCTCTGGGATGGGATCTGTCTAGATTGGTCTGATCTGATCTCCATGTTAGGAGAATAAGTGACACATCAATGTCAAGGAGTTAGTGCCAATAAAACCCTTCATAGCCAGTTTAAAGCAACTCAAAGGGATAGAAAGAGTAGCTTTTAGGTCAAGCCTATCTGGAATCCATTCTTTTATTTATTTATTTATTTTTAATTATTTATTTTTGTCTTTTTGAGACAGGGTCTCCCTGTAGCCCCAGCTGTCCTGGAACTCACTTTGGCCCCTAACAGAGATCTGCCTGCCTCTGCTTCCCAAGTGCTGGGATCATAGGCATGCACCACCACGCCTGGTTTTTATTTATTATTTATTTATTTATTTATTTGTGTATGAGAGTGTATTGCCTGCATGTATGTAAGTGCACCTATGTCATGCAGTGCCCTCTGAGGTCAGAAAGAGGGCATTGGATCCCCTGGAACCGGAGTTACCAATGGTTGTTAGCCACCATGTAGGTGCTGGGGATTGAACCCTGGCCCTCTGCAAGAGCAACCAGTCATACCAGTCTAGTCATACCAGTTAGGAAGACATGAATGAGCACGGGCTTGGGAAAGGTTAGCACCCCTCACAGTTCTAGTTTAGAGCATCACCAGTTTGATAAGTGTTCTCCTAAGCATTGCATTTAACATTTTTTTTTCTTTTCTTTTTTTTTTTTTTTTTTTTTTTTTTGAGACAGGGTCTCCCTGTAGCCAGCTAGCATGGAATTCGCTATGTACCAGGCTGGCCTCCAATTCACAGAGCTCACCCACCACACCCGGCACATTTAACTTTTAAAGCAGCCAGCAACAATTAGCATCACTACACAGAAGAACTATACTTAAGTCCTTTATACTTTCACTTAGCTTCTACTTTTTAGGCAAAATTTAGAATCTTTAGCTTGGCAGATTCATACATCTACAGCACTGACAAAAATCAAAACATGGGCTGGAGAGATGGCTCAGCTCGAGAGTGCATACTGCTCTTCCAGAGGACCTGAGTTTGATTCTTAGCACCTAACAACAGTAGGCTTACAAATGCCAATAATTCCAACTTCAGAGATTCCAATACATCTGGCCTCCATGGGCACCCACTCTCACATGTACATGTTCACACAAAGACATATACACGTGCACATGATTAAAAATAAAATAGATCAGGACAGGAGAGATGACCCAGTGGTCAAGAACACTCACTGCTCTTCTATAAGAATTGCATTCAGTTTCTAGCACCCACTTTGGGCAGTTGTATCTCCAGCTCCAGGGGACCTGATGCCCTCTTCTCATCCCTGAGGGCACTTGCACCCAAGTGGCATAAGCATACACACACATAGACATAAATAAAAATAAAATCTTTAAAAATAAATAGCCAGTCATGGTGGTGCACACCTTTAATCCCAGCAGTCAGGAGGCAAAGGCAGGGGGATCTCTGTGAGTTCAAGGCCAGCCTGGTCTACTTAGCAAGTATCAGGCCTGCTGGGGCTACAGGGAGATCCTGTCTCAAAAAGACCACCAAATAATTATAAATAAATAAATAAAATAAATCTTGCCTGGATGTGGTGGCACACACCTTTAATCCCAGTACTAACTGACCACAAATAGACTCATGTGTGATGTCCAGGTGTGTCTCATATATACAAGAACAAAATGTGCTTATATTGCTAAGACAGATAAATAAAGACCAGAGTATCTTTTTTTTTTTTTTTTTAAAAAAAAAACACTTTTTTTTTTTTTTTTTTTTTTTTTTTCTTTTTGAGACAGAGTCTCACTATTTCCCTAGCTGGCTCAGAACTAACTAGAGCAAGCTGGCCTCAAACTCACAACGATCCATCTGCCTGTGCCTTCTGAGTGCTAGGATTAAAAGTGTGGGTCACCATGCCCAGCCTGTTAACAACTTGTTCAAAGAGACAAAAAGCCAGACGACTAGCAGCTCCTGTATGTAGTCCAAACTCTGTCCTCTGATATTCACATGAATACAAACATATATACACACTTTAAAGTAGGCATGCCAAGAATAGTAATTCAGCACACAATAAGAAAGAAATTAAAGAATGAAGTGGTCAGGGACTTGCTACTCAGTTATTTTGCAGGAACTCTAGGGAAAGATTAGGTTTTGCCCCATGCTGCTTTAGAAACTTTCATAAGTTTTCAAAAAAATACTGGAATCTTCCCTAGGGACCACCAAGATAGTACAGACTTAATATTTTCCATGGCTACACAAATGACAATAGAGATCTCAACATCCTTGCTTCTCTGTCACAAATGATTCCTCAGAACCACAATGAGCCACAAAAGACCCAACACAATTTACCCTTCTCTGTCATATGCAGATTCCCAGATCCTTCAGCCAAGTTCCAGATTTGCTCAAAGGAGCTTTCAAATTCACTAAGCCTATCAGACAGGTTACCACCTGATGATAACACAAATAGTTCAACAAATTGAAACAACTCAGAATTACAAAGGACAAAGCCAGTAACCAAATGGCATTTACCTAAATATTTCAAAAAGAACCAAACAGCTCAAAAGGGCCCAAGCTAAAAGAGAGGCAACACCCAGGGTACATTAAGCATGGTGAAACTTAACCAAGGTCAGACTTTTTCCAGGATCTAAAACAGAGTCCAAGTACTCTTTTCTCTGATTCACCAGATAGAGGGGAAAAAGCAGCTGATGCTGGCTGAAGTGGGGAGATAGAAAAGTGATCCCACCAGCTGCTTGGGACTGTTCATTCTTTTTTTGGGTGGGGGGGATTCTTTTTGAGACATGGTCTTCCTGTTGCCTCAGTTGGCCTGGAGCTCACTATGTAGACCAGGCTGGCCTCAAACTCTCAGAGCCTGCCTCTGCCTTCCAAGTGCCTGGATTGAAGGCATGCATCACCACACCTGGCCTGGGACTATTCATTCTTGTGTCTCTGTAAGGGAGGGAGGTGATGACAGAGTCTTTTCTCCTGGCCACAGCTTACCAAAATTATACCAAAAAAAAAATAGACATTAGGATTAGAGTCTGGGCCCTAACAGCCCTAACAAGCTAGGCTTGGCCCACCCATCCTCACATAGTTCAATTAGACAATTAATAGTGAAAAGCAGAAAAATATTTATTCACTGTGTCTATATTGGGAAGAGGTCTAGTGATACCCTAGTCTTTGTGGGTTCTCAAGTACATGAATTTTAGATTAATAGGAGGCAAGAGGTATATATATATATATATATATATATAAAACTAAGCAGCCGGGTCACAGTGTGGCTCCACCCACTATCACTGGCTCCTGTCTCTCCTGCAGGGTGGTCTGGAAAGATGTTAGAACTGTGTAAAATCTCCTTAGACAACCTTCTCTGGCTTATACCAGGGCTCAGACTTCTTCCAGTATGAGATTCCTGGGGAAATTCCGATTTCTTGGGGTCCATTGTCCCAGTAGTCTGATAGCTAAAGAGAGGGGATACAAATGTCTCTAAGAATATCTCCCATCCTGCCAGGATAGTTACACAGGGATTACAGGCATGAGGCAACAGGTCTGGCCACATCTAGCTTTTCAATAGCCATTACAGATGATGGTAGGTATTCTTTGATGCTATACTAAAACTCTGGAGTTCATGTTCATTGAGCATCTATTATGTAACATGAGTACCTACTTATACATAAGGATACTTCTAACATTTCCTGATGAATAGAGAGCCTTATTCTTAAAGCAACACCATGTATGTTTTAAATATTTTATTTATTTATTTTTTGTCTTTTTGAAGCAGGGTCTCCCTGTAGCCCCAGCTGTCCGGGAACTCACTACGTAGACCAGGCTGGCTTCGAACTCACAAAGATCCGCCTGCCTCTGTCTCCTAAGTCCTTGGATTAAAGGCGTGCGCCACCACGCCTGCATGTACATGAGTGCACCTGTGTTGTGCATTGCCTCGGAGGTCAGAAGAGGACTTCAGATTCCCCTGGAACTGGAGTTAAGGATGGTTTGTAGCCGCCGTGTGGGTGCTGGGAATCGAACCTGGGTCCTCTGCAAGAGCAGTCAGCGCTCTTAACCGCTGATCCATCTTTCCAGCCCCTTATTTTTATTTTATGTGTATGAGTGTTATGCCTGCGTGTAAGTGCACCCCTGTCATGCAATGCCGGAGGAGGACAGAAGAGGCTGTTGGATCCCCTTGGAATTGTAATGGACAGTTGTTAGCTGCCATGTGGGTGCTGGGATTTGAGCCCAGGTCTTCTGCAAGAACAGTCAGTGTTCTTAACTGCTGAGCCATCTCTCCAGCTGCCCCCCGCCTTTTTTTTTAAAGAGGGTCTTTACCATGGATTGTGGGGATAGAACTTGACCTTTCACAGTAAGCACTTTTATCCTCTGAGCCATCTCACTAGCCTGCCCAATGCCCTTTTATGGGTCTTATGGCAGGAATTAAATGGAGACTGAAGTAATCTTCATTGGAATTGGTCATTTTTGAACTCATAGAAGACTGAGTCAGTGAGGAGTCAACTCCCCTATGCATGGTGCCTTGGCTCAACCAGAGAAGTGATCACGCCTTACTTGTTCAGTTGGGAGTGGTCATGTGTGCTACATGACTAACTCATGATCCACCGTGGGCCCCACCCTTGCTGCCTACAGGGAGCTTAACTCTTGTTTCAAGGAAGATCATAATTTCCATCAAGCAACATTTCACAGGTAGGCTTCCTCCTTGCTCCCTGCCTAGAAATCAGGGTGCATATTTTGTTTTGTTTACCTTAAAATAATATTCTACCACTGGGTCTGGTGGTGAAAGCTTGTAATCCCAGCCACTGGACAAGTTGAGGCAGAAAGATCACAAGTTTAAAACCTGTCTGTGCTGTGGAGTAAATTCAGCACCCTGTCTGAAAATAAAATGGGAGGAAATTTGGAAAGCTGGATGTGGTGGTACAGGTCTGTAGTCCTAGCACTTGGGAGGTAAAATCAGGAAGATCAGAAGTTCAAGGTCATCCTCAGCTACACACACACACACACACACACACACACACACACACACGCACTACACACACACGGGGGGGGGACAGGAATAAAAAAAAATAGAAAAAGAGCATCAGGCATGGCAACAAGTATTCCTCCCTTGGGACATACATAGCAAGTTAAAGGCCAGTGTGGGTTACATGAGACCTGTCTCAAAAAAGTCTGAGCTGAGCGTGGTAGCATATGCCTTTAACTCCATCCCTGGAAGGCAGAGGTAGGATCCCAGAGATTGAGTCCAGTCTGGTCTACTTAGCAAGTTCCAGGCCAGCTGGGAGACCTTGTCTCCAAAAGAAAAAAAAAAAGTCTGAGGGAGGGCTGGAGGAAAAGCTCAGCCGTTAGGAGCACTGGCCGCTCTTACAGAGGACCTGTCCAGTTCCAGATTATCTGATGCCCTCTGCTGACCTCCTCCTACATGCACATGATGCACATATACACACTCTGGCACATACACATTTTAAAAAAAATGTCTTGTAAGAACATTGTGGGTACAGTGATACATGCCTGTAATCCCAGTATCTGGAAGATAGAGGCAGGAGGCTTTGACTGCCTGGTAAAACTATGTATTAAACAAAACAAGGGGCTGGAGAGATGGCTCAGTGGTTAAAGAACACTGGTTGTTCTTTCAGAAGACCCGCATTCGAATCCAAGCACCCACATGGCAGCTAACAACTGTCTGTAACTCGAGTTCCAGGGGATCTGACAGCCTCTTCTGTCCTCCGAGGGCATTGCATAACATGGGTGTACTTACCTACATGCAGGCAATACACGCATACACATGAAATAAAAATAATATAAACAAAACAAAAAGAAAGAAAACATTTTTTTTCCTTTGTCTTTTTGAGACAGGGTCTTCCTGTAGCCCCAGCTGTCCTGGAACTCACTATGTAGACCAGTCTGGCCTCAAACTCACAAAGATCCACCTGCCTCTGCCTCCCAAGTGCTGGGATTAAGGGCGTGCACCACCACACCCGGCTTTTTTTTCGTCTTTTTGAGACAGGGTCTTCCTGTAGCCCCAGCTGTCCTGGAACTCACTATGTAGACCAGACTGGCCTCAAACTCACAGAGATCCACCTGCCTCTGCCTCCCAAGTGCTAGGATTAAAGGCTTGTGCTACTATGCCAAGCAAGAAAACATTTTTTAGACCAGTACTTTCCTTGTGTTTGGAATTGTAGATTCCTGAAATCTTTTGTTCCTATGCATAAAGATGTCATTGGTGGACTTGGGGAAGAGGCTGCTAGAAGCTGCAAGAAAAGGCCAAGATGATGAAGTGAGGACACTGATGGCAAACGGGGCCCCATTCACTACAGACTGGGTAAGCGTAGCAGAAAGGCCTCAGTGACTTCTGAAGTGCCTTCATCCGTCCTTTACCTAAAGGCCGAATAGACATGGACTTTTCTTCATTTTCATTCTACACCATTCCCCTTAAAGGAGTTTTGTTTTGTGTGTCTTACCTGAGTATGTAGTCCCCCCACCTTTTTTTTTTTTTTGGTCTTTTTGAGACAGGGCCTTCCTGTAGCCCCATATAGCCTGCAATTCACTATGTAGACTGTGCTGGCCTCAATCTCACAGAGATCTTCCTGCTCCCAGAGCCTCTTGAGTGTTAGAATTAAAGGAGTGGGCTACCACGCCTGGCTCTTTTTTTTTTTTTCCTTCTTTTTTAGGCAGGATCTTACCATGTAGCCTTGGCTGGCCTGGAATTCTACACAGTGATCTTGAACTCAAGAGATCTGCTTGCCTCTGCCTCTGTAGTGCTAGAATTAAAGACGTGTGCCATTAGGTCCTGCGCATTCACAGATTTTGTAAGCACTGACAAAATTGTTTTGATGATCGAGTGATCTCTATTGTAGTATGTTTAATTCATAATTTCAGATGCCAACTCGTTCTTGGCACTTCACAAGAAAGGCAGAGAATGAAATCTATGAAAAGCAGAGACTAAAAACAGGTTTTAATAAAAAGCAAGAGAGTATACTATAAAGAAAGGAATAGGCCAGGTGTCGTGGTATACACCTGTAATCCCAGCACTTAGGAAGTACAGGATTAGGAGGTTTTTATCCTTGTTACATAGCCAGTTCCAGATTTACCTAGGCTACTACCTTGTCCAGCGATAGGTGGCAAGATTTACACAGAAGATGACACATGCTGGACGTGGTGGTATATGCCTTTAATCCCAGTACTTGGGAGGCAGAGGCAGACAGATCTCTGAATTCAAGGCCAGCCTGGTCTACATAGTGAGTTCCAGGACAGCTGGGGCTACAGGGAGACCCTGTCTCAAAAAGACCAAAGGAAAAAAAAAAAAAAGAAGAAGACGACACACAGATTTTCTTATTGCTATTGCTGCATCATTTCTGAAGTTTTGGTGTGTGTGTGTGCATGTCTCTGTTGTGGGTGCAATGTGCCTGAGAGGAGGATGTCATGTTCTGCTCCATCATTCTCAACCTTACTCTTTTTTTCTTTTTTTAAGATTATATTTACTATTTTTATTTTTTATGTGTATGCATGTATTGCCTGCATGTAGATGAGTGCACTCGTGTCGTGCAGTGCCCTCAGAGGACAGAGGAGGTGGTCAGATCTCCTAGAACTGGAGTTACAGACAGTTGTTTGCTGCCATGTGGGTGCTGGGATTCGAACCCAGCAAGAGCCCTTGCTCTTCTGCAAGAGCAACCAGTGTTCTTAACCACTGAGCCATCTCTCCAGTCCCATCCATCTTATTCTTTTAAGACAGGGTCTCTCACTGAACCTGAAGTTTGCCTCTTTTGGCTAGGCTGGCTGGCCATTGAGCTTCTAAGATTTGCCTCTTTCATCACCCCTGCCCCCAATGCTGGGGTTACAGGTACTTGCTGCCATGCCTGGCTTTTGTACATGGGTACTAATGATTCCATCAGGTCCTCATGCTTGCACATAATTTTTTTTTTTTTTTGTCTTTTTGAGACAGGGTCTCCCTGTAGCCCCAGCTGTCCTGGAACTCACTATGTAGACCAGGCTGGCCTTGAACCCACAAAGATCTGCCTGCCTCTGCCTCCCGAGTGCTGGGATTAAAGGCATGCACCACCACACCCAGCCTTATTATTTTTATTTTATATGGATTAGTGTATTGCCTGCATGTATGTTAGTATACCCGTGTCGTGCAGTGCCCAAGGAGGTCATAAGAGAGCATCAGATTCCTCTGGAATTGGAGTTGTGGATGGTTGTTAGCCACCATGTGGTAACTGGGAACTGAACCCAGATCCTCTGGAAGAGTAGCCAGTGCTTTTAGCCACTGAGCCATTTCTCCAGCCCCACTTTAAAAAAAAAAAAAAAAAAAAAATCTTTATTATTGCTGGTGGTGGTAGCACATGTCCTTAATCCCAGCACTTGGAGGCAGAGGCAGGCAGATCTCTGTGAATTCAAGACCATCTGGTCTACATAAGTTACAGGCCAGCCAGGGCTACAGGGAGATCCTGTCTCAAAAAGACAAAAACAGAAAACAAAACAAAACAAAAAAACTTTATTATTATTGTGTGAATATGTATAAGTTCAGGCCCATGCCATGGTGCACATGTAGAGATCAGAGGACAACTTTGCGGAGTTTTCTCCTTCCACCTCTTCCTGGGTTCTGGGAACTGAACCCAGATCACCAGGTTTGCATGGCAAGCACTTTTACCCTCCAAGCTCTTTCACCAGCCCCAGAATACTCTTTTTGATTTTTTTTCATTATCTTGTAAGTCATGCTTAAAATCACATCCTTTAGTGAATCTTTTTTTTAAATATTTTATTTTTATTTATTTTTATGTGTATGCATGTATTGCCTGCATGTACGTAAGTGTACCTGTGTTGTGCAGTGCCCGCTAAGGACAGAAGAGTCAATTGAATCCCCTGGAACTGGAGTTATAGACAGTTGTTAGCTGCCATGTGGGTGCTGGGATTTGAATCCAGGTCTTCTGTAAGAATAGTCAGTGTTCTTAAACACTGAGCCATCTCTCCAGCCCCCTCTTCGTGAATCTTATCAGATAAATCTACCTGACTTAAAGCCATACTATACTTCAAATTTATTTAATTTGTGGTCTCTTTGCCTATTAGTATATTAATTATTAAAATTTATCATTTCTTCAGTTCTGTCTGCCCAATCAGATTCTTTATCCAAGGATGAACACTGTAAGATTTCATTTCTTGTTCATGTGTGTGTGTTCAGCAGTGATATAGTTCTACACACAATAGAATTCAATGAGTATTATTTTCCTACAGCTTGGAACATCACCCCTCCACCTTGCAGCCCAGTATGGTCATTATTCCACAGCAGAAGTACTCCTTCGAGCAGGTGTTAGCAGAGATGCCCGGACCAAAGTGGACAGGACCCCTTTGCATATGGCTGCAGCTGATGGACATGCACACATTGTGGAACTGCTTGTTAGGGTAAAGCAAAACTAGTGGTGGGCTGTGTTGTAAAAAAGACACCCACCTCCTGTGTTCTTAAATTGTGGTTAGGAGAGTGGGCTGGAAAAGACTAGTGTAGGTGAGTATTGAGTTACATTTCTAAGTTATTTATTTATTCATGAGAAGTATCTTTTAAGAGTCATCATGGAGATGAGTTTGCTTTTTTTTTTTTTTTTTTTTTTTCGGTTTTTTGAGAGAGGGTCTCCCTGGAGCCACAGCTGACGTGGAACTTACTATGTAGACCAGGCTGGCCTTGAACTCACAGAGATCTGCTTGCCTCTGCCTCCTAAATGATGGGATTATAAGCATGCACCACCACACCCAGGCCAGAGGCTGGAAGTTAAGAGCACTGACTGCTCTTGCCGAGGACCGGGGTTCAATTCCTAGCACCCACATGGCAGCTAACAATTGTCTATTCCAGGGAATCAGACTTCTTCTGACCTCAGGCATTGCACAACACAAATGCATGTACACACATGCAGGCAGTACACTCACACACAAAATAAAAATAATAAAATATTTAAAATAAATAAAAAAAGCTAAACAGATTTTATTGATTTTTTTTCTTCATTCTTTTTTGTAGGTGTTCTCTGTACTTATGCCTTTTTTTTCAGGCACTTAGCTTTCTCTTAATAAATGCAAAATCTGTTCTAAAAACCCTCTCCCATCTGTTATGATTTTCCACTGATGTCCTTAGCAGACCCACTCATTGAAAGCATAAAGTGTCAGTGTTCAGAGGCTTGAGAAATATGTTTCCCTTTGATAGTTCTTAAACAAGATCTGAATTTAAGTATCTCTATGTAAATCCTCTGTTTGATGATGAGCTCTTACACCTGTGTTCCTGTAACCAACATCTGTTGAAAAAGTTGTTTTTCTATAACAGAATGGTGCAGATGTGAATGCCAAGGACATGCTAAAGATGACGGCTTTGCACTGGGCTACAGAGCATCACCACCGAGATGTTGTTGAGTTACTTATCAAATATGGAGCTGATGTCCATGCTTTTAGCAAGTTTGACAAGTCTGCCTTTGACATAGCACTGGAGAAAAACAATGCAGAGATTTTGGTCATCCTCCAGGTATGCTTTCTTTTATATTCCTCCAAAATATACTTCAACTCAGGTTCAAGAATTTCCCCCAACACATCAAAGTAGTACTTCCAGAATTACTTAATCATGGGATTCAGTGTCTTTAGTATCTTTAGTATCTGTCTTTTCTTTTTGAGGGGTAGGGGTTGAGATTGGTCTTAACTGGCCTAGGCTGATCTCAAACTCTTATGTAACTGAAATGACCTTAGATTCCTGATCCTCCTGCCTCTACCTCATGTATGCCTAACTTTTCTTAATTTTTTTTCCATACTGAAAGCCCAAGCTGGCCGCAAACTCTCAATTCTCTTGCCTTACCTTCCCTAGTGCTAAGCATGCATTACTGGGCCTGACCATTAGTGCTTTCTTTGCTTAAATATGTCATTAAACTTTTTCAATAAATTATTTGTTATTCTTATTTTATGTGTATGAGTGTTTTGCCTGCATGTATGTAAGTGCACTCATGTGTACAGTGCCCACAGAGGCAAGAGGAGGGTGTCAGATCCCCTTGAAACTGGAGTTATAGAGATTGTTAGCTGGCATGTGGGTGCCGAGAATCAAACCTGGGTCCTCTGCAAGAGCTTCCAGTGCTTTTAACCACTCTTCAACCCTGCTGTTAATTTTTTTTTTAATGGGAGCTGGAGCGTGTGCACACACATGGATGGATGGATGGATGGATGGATGGATGGATGGATGGATGGATGGATGGATGGATAGATGGATGGGTAGAGAGAGAGATAGATGGATAGATAGACAGAAAGAAAGTAAATTGTTAAAAGTTTTGGGGGCTTTTGGGGTGGTTTTTTTTGGGGGGGACAGGGTCTCACTATGTGCCTATGACTATTCTGGAACTCACTGTGTAAACCAAGCTGGCCTCAGAATCAGAGATTCACCTGTCTCTTCTTCCAGAGTCTTGGGATTAAAGGCAAGCACTGCCATGCCCAGCCAAACAAACTGTAATTTTTTTAAAAGGATATGGAGTCATGTGTTTATACTCTCAGAACTTGGGAAGCAGAGTCAGGTATATAGATAGCTCTGAAGCTCAATAGCCAACCAACCTAGCCGACTTGATGAGCTCAAGACCAGTGAGATTTTGTCTCAAAAAAAAAAAAAAACCCAACTAGGGGCTGGAGAGATGGTTCGGCGGTTAGGGTTCGATTCCCAGCACCCACATGGCAGGTATGAACCATCTTTAACTCCAGTTCCAGGGGAATCCGAAGCCCTCTTCTGACCTCCATGGTATTGCATGACACAGGTACACTCACATACATGCAGGAATTACACTAATATACATAAAATAATTTTTTTTGGTGTTTTTGAGACAGGGTCTCCCTGTAGCCTCAGCTGTCCTGGAACTCACTATGTAGACCAGACTGGCCTTGAACTCACAGAGATCCTCCTGCCTCTGCCTCCCGAGTGCTGGGATCAAAAGCGTTTGCGCCACCATGCCCAGCTGTCTTTTGTCTTTTTGAGACAGGGTTTCCCTGTAGCCTCAGCTGGCCTGGAACTCACTGTGTAGACCAGGCTGACCTTGATCTCATAGAAATCCACCTACCTCTGCCTCCCAAATGCTGGGATTAAAGGCATGTGCCACCCCGCCCAGCTGCATGCACACACCCACCCACATACACAAACATACACACACACACACAAATGTAGTCATACACACATAGTCACTGTTCAAGCATAGGCCTTTATAATCCCACCATATAGGAAGTGGAAGAGAAAGATCAGAAGCTCAAAGTCATGTTTGGCTACATAGCAAGTTCAAGGCCAACCTTTCTACACACACACACATCCTGTGGTAGGCACCTGTGAAGTATTTCGATATGTCTCCCTACATCCGCACAAAGGGAAACCGTGTTACTGAAGAACCAAGAACCTGTCCAGACCTAGGAAGCAGACATCCCTACCTCTCAACAAACCCACATACCCTTCACCTCTTCCCCACAAGGACATATCCTAAAGTTGTCAAAAATTAAATTTGGATGGGGGAAGGGGCTGGAGAGATGACTCAGTGTTTAAGAGCACTGGCTGTTCTTGTAAAGGACCTAGGTTTGGTTTACAGCTCTTACATGGCCATTGGTAACTCCACTTCCAAGGGATCCTATGCCTTCTTCTGACCTCCACCCGCGTTGCATGCAAGGGTGCACTTATCTCCAGGGAAAACACTCATACATTTAAAACAAAAATTAATACCCCCCCAGTTTTAAAAAATTTATTTGATAACCATGTGATTAGAAGAAGCATCATTTCATTACAGCATTGACATATTCAATAATTTCTGGAGCTTTTTTTTTTTTTTTTTTTTTTTTTGTTTTTAAAAACCCTGTAGCCCCAGCTGTCCTGGAACTCACTATGTAGACCAGGCTGGCCTTGAACTCACAGACATCCGCCTGCCTCTGCCTCCCGAGTGCTGGGATTAAAGGCGTGCGCCACCACACCCAGCAAGAGCCAATTTTTAAAAAATTAAATTCAGGGGCCAGTGAGATAGCTCAGTGCTTGCTGATCACTCAGACACTGGATCCAAGGGATCCATTGCCTTCTTCCACAAGCATTGCATGCAAAGGTGCACTTATCTCCAGGCAAAACACTCATACGTATAAAATAAAAATACCCCCCCAGTTTTTTTCTTACTAAATTCAGTGCTTGCTATGAAGCCTGAAACCTGAGTTTGATCCCTGGAACCTACATGGTAGAGTGAACTGACTTATGAAAGGTTTCCTCTGACCTTCATTTGTATACACACGCAGGCACACACACACACATGCACACACGCACGAATATTAAGTGTTTAAAAAGTTTTAGATTGAGCGGGCATGGTGGCACACACCTTTAATCCCAGCACTCGGGAGGCAGAGGCAGGCGGATGTCTGTGAGTTCAAGGCCAGCCTGGTCTACATAGTGAGTTCCAGGACAGCTGGGGCTACAGGGAGACCCTGTCTCAAAAAGACCAAAAAAAAAAAAAAAAAAATTTAGATTGGGCTTGTAAGGTGGCTTGGCTGGTAAAGGCACTTGCTGCCAAACCTAATCACCTGAGTTGATCCCTGGGATCCATGTGGTGGAAGGAGAGAACTGACTCCTGCAGATTGTGGCTTTGCCATCATTCACATGAATGCTCTGGCACATGCACATTTGTACACACACAATGACAAATAAAATTTTTAAAAATTCATTCATTTTTCAGCCGGGTGTGATGGCGCACCCCTTTAATCCCAGCACTCAAGAGGCTGCGGCTATCAGATTTTTGTAGATCGAGGCCAGCCCTGTCTACATTGCAAGTTCCAGGCCACCTGAGACTATAAGGAAGACATTGTCTCAAAAACAAACAAAATTCATTTTTCAAAAAATCATTCCAGGTTAGAAAAAGAACAAATCAAAGACATAGGATGTGGAAAAGCATGAAATGTTTAGAAAAGAACACTAGTTGTGTGCATAGAAATAAGCCTGGAGTTTGGGAATGGCAGGTGCTCCAGCTTGAGAGTTAGGCTAGGTCTGGATATAAGGGTGTTACATGGCTGGGGAAGTAGTTTTTGGGTAGACAGTATGAACCTAGTTGAAACTTTTTGAGTGGGGATTGAGAAGGGGTCTTGCTGTGTGGTTCTGGTTCACCTGGTCTTATGTAGCTCATGCTACCCTCTCACTAATGGTAATACTCTCTTACTCTCTGCCTCAGCCTTTGCTGTGCTGGAACTACAGGTGTGAGCCACTACAGGTCCTCAGAAACCTTTTTTTTTTTTTTTCGGTCTTTTTGAGACAGCGTCTCTGTAGCTCCAGCTGGCCTGGAACTCATGTAGACCAGATGGCCTCAAACTCACAGAGATCCACCTGCCTCTGCCTCTTGAGTGCTGGGATTAAAGACATGCGCCACCACACCTGGCCTTGGAAACCTTTAAATACAAGATTGGTGTGCTTGTTTAAAAACATTGTTTGGAATATAGTACACACATTGGATGGAGAAGACAATGCTAAGTAACCATGTGATAAGTTTCATTAGGCTAAGCAAGGCATGACAGTAAGCACTTCCACTAAGGAAGTAATGGTGGAGGGCAGAAGAAGTTGCAGATTGAAGAAAGAATTGGACAGTATCCAGAGAGTGAATATTCTGTTTCAATTGAAGTTCTCAGTCAAGGAGATAATTACAGATGAAAAATAGCTGCTCTTGCAACTTTCAGTTTTTTGTTTGTTTTTTGTGACAGATGGTTTTCCAAAGACTAGTTATTATCTTCAACTGTCAGTTGTTCAGAGTCTTTTCATAACTGGACTTTTTTTTTAGTAGTTATCATGTTTGTAGAAAACTTTTGAAAGTACAAATAAAAGATAAACATCTTTTCACTGAATTGAGCAAATATCCTTGGAAGCAGAAGTGTAGCATCTGGAACTAGACTTCAGAATCTGGTGCACATGTGTTTGCTTGCTATATGTTCTCCTGGGAATTTCTTCAGTGGCAGAATGGAACAAATCATTGGCTCAAACTCTAGAGAATATTTTTTTTTCTATAGGGATCTGCTGCTAGCACCTTGTAGATAATTGGTCATAGACTAGTAGTGCTATAAATTACTTTTCAGACTATCCAAAACCAATTACTTCATTTTTTTTCAAGTTAAATGTAGAGAGGTTAAGGGAAGTATGTAGAAGGTTTTGCTAATAATATACCTTTGCTTTTCTCAAGTAGAAACAAGCTGGGAAAGCAGCCTAACATTTCTATTGCTTCAGTTTGAAAAAAGCAGTAGTCTTAATGAGAACCTGAGCCCCCTGGGACATTTTGTGCTAGAACTAGATCTGCTTGATAGACCATTGCTAGGGGTGGGGCTTACGCCGTTCAGTAACTCTAAGAATAAAGCTGGTAAATGTTCTAACATCAAAATACCCTGCTTTGTTTGGTAGGAAGCAATGCAGAATCAAGTGAGTGCTAACCCCGAGAGAGCCAGCCCTGTGACTAACCCTGTGACTGTGGCTGCTCCGTTCATCTTCACCTCTGGAGAGGTTGTTAACCTCACTAGCCTTGTTTCTTCAGCCAACACCAAAGCAACCTCAGGTAATGTTCTGATAATGAGGTATCTGTTTTAGATGCAAAAATGAGAAGAGCTCCCAACTTTCCTAGACATGAATAGATACTCTGTCTGATACCCAACCTTCTAAAAATAAAGCTCTGGAGCAGAATACTTGACTGGCATGTATAAAGCCCTGAGTTAAATCTCCACAAAAATAGTGCCAGGCATGGTGGTGCACGCCTTTAGTCCCAGCACTCCACTGGGAAGCAGAGGCAGGCGGATCTCTGTGAGTTCGAGGCCAGCCTGGTCTATAGAGTGAGTTTCAGGCCAGCTGGGGCTACAGGGAGACCCTGTCTCAAAAAAAAAAAAAAAAAAAAAAAAAGAGTGAAAAATAAAAAACATTTCCCAAACACTTTTTTTGTTGCAGTGCTAGAAATTGAACCTAGGTACTCTCAGTTGCTAGAACTATATTCCCAGCCCTTTGTTTGATTTGAGATAGGGTCTTGCTGTAGTTCAGGCAGGCCTTGAACTCAATATGTAACTCAGACTGGCTTGAACTTATAGCAGTTGTCCTGCCTTAGCTTTCCAAACATTAGGATTACAGGTGTTGAGCCACCACAGCCAGCTTGACAATAACTGGTAAAGCCAAGGTACCCTTTTTTCTTTCCTTCCTTTTTTATTTTTTATTTATTTATTTTTTTGTTGTTGTTGTTTTGAGACAGGATCTCCCTGTAGCCACAGTTGTTGACCAGGCTGGCCTCAACTTCATAGAGATCCACCTGCCTCTGCCTCCCAAGTGCTGGGATTAAAAGACTGTGCCACCACTCCACTCCTGGCTTTCTTTCTTTTTTTTTTTTTTTTTTTTTTTTTTTTTGATCTTTTTTGATACAAAAAGCTCCAGCTGGCCTGGAACTCACAGAGATCCACCTGCCCCTGCCTCCCAAGTGCTAGGATTACAGGTGTCCACGTCCAGCTCTTTTAAAAAAAAAAAACAAACAAAAAACAAAAACGTATTTTCCAGCCAGGCGTGGTGGCACATGCCTTTAATCCCAGCACTTGGGAGGCAGAGGCAAGCAGATCTTTGTGAGTTCAAGGCCAGCCTGGTCTACATAGTGAGTTCAGGTCAGCTGGGACTACAGGGATACCCTGTCTCAAAAAGACAAAAAAAAAAAAAACCAAAAAACTTATTTTCCAAATTTCATACATCTTGATCATATTCAGACCCTGTCCTCTATCTAAACGCCTTGTAGCCTCCCCCTGCCAGTTTTCATGCATTGTATCATGTATGTTAAGGCCTAGCAAGTCAAGTTTGTGTTCCCAAATATATCTCGGTGTTACTCCATTTACTGGAGCCTGTCAGCCTATCTAGTGTCACTTCCTTACAGAAAAATCAACCCTCCCTCTACCATCTAGTCATCAGTTGCCAATAATTCTCAGCTAAGGTCAGAGCTTCTTTCCCATTTTCCCCTTTCTATGCTGGGTTTTTCTCTAGTTTGAACTTGGTGAGTCTTGTACATGCTGTCACCATTGCTATAAGTTCATATGAGTAATTCACCAGCTGTCTGGAAAACTGTTTTCTTTTGGTCTTCCACCAACCCTATCTCTTACAGTCTTTCCTGGGTGGACCTTTTCTTTCTGGGATAAGGAAGATCATGGGGAAGATGAAATTATAAATGAGCACTATATTAAAAATAAGATATTCTAAAGATTTATCTATTAAAGGTTATGCCTTGCCAGACATAGTGATACATACCTATAATCCTAGCACTCAAGAGATAGAGGCAGGAGAATCAGAAATTCAAGGCCAGCCTCAGCTACATTAAACCTTGACTTAAGAAACAATGGTTGTTGGGTGAGACGGCACATGCCTTTAATCCCAGCACTCGGGAGGCAGAGGCAGGCGGATCTCTGAATTCAAGGCCAGTCTGGTCTACATAGTGAGTTCTAGGCTAGCTGGGGCTACTTGAAGGAGCTTGCTTCCTAAATTACATAAATTTTCAGTTCTTGTTTTTTTTTTTTTTTTCTGGTTGTGACTTTCACAATGACTAGGGCTGGAGAGATGGTTCAGTTAATAGCATTGGCCACTCTTGTAGAGGATCCAGGTTTGGTTCCCAGCACCCAAATGGCAGCTAACAGTTGTGTATAACTACAGGGAATCCAGGGCATTGCACGAATGGGTACGCTTACATACATGCAGGCAAAACATTTACACACATAAAATGAAAATTAACTAGGCTAGATGTGATTGGTATGGTGGCTCACATGTATAATCAGAGCAGTAGGAATGTAGTAGCAAGAAGATCTCTGAGTTTGAGGCCAGTCTGTTCCATACAGCGAGTTCCAGGCCAGCAAAGGCTAACTAAATACATTGTAAAGCATGGTGGTACAAGCCTATACTCCAGGCATTCAAAAGATAAACACAGCAGTACTACCACAAGTTCTAAGCCAGCCTGGGCCACATACACAGAAACAACTGTTTGTAACTCCAGTTCCAGAGGATCTGACACCCTCTTCTGGCTTTTTCAGGCATTACATGACACAGATGCACTACTCGTAAACTGGGCATGGTGGCGCACGCCTTTAGTCCCATCACTTGGGAGGCAGAGGCAGGTGGATCTCTGTGAGTTTGAGGCCAGCCTGGTCTACATAGCGAGTTCCAGGTCAGCTGGGGCTAGAGGGAGACCCTGTCTCAAAAAGACAAAAACAACGCTCATATATATGAAATAAAAATAAATATATCAAAAAATTTCGTGAGCCTGGAGAGATGGCTCAGTGGTTAAGAACACTGGTTGTTCTTGCAGAAGACCTGGGTTCGAATCCCAGCACCCACACGGCAGCTAACAGCTGCCCATAACTCCAGTTCCATGGGATCCAAAGGCCTCTTTTGTCTTCTGTGGGCATTGCACATCACAGGTGTACTAACACACATGCAGGCAATATACATATACACATAAAATAAAAATAATAAAAATTTTAAAAAACAGTTGTTATAAAAAAAAAGAAAATTTCAAGCTGGGTATGGTGGTGCAAGTGGATCTCTGTGAGTTCAAGACCAGCCTGTTCTACACACTGAGTTCCAGGACAGCTGGGGCTATAGGGAGACCCTGTCTCAAAAAGACCGAAAAAAAAACCCAGAAAATTTCTTTTAAATTTTGAGACAGAGACTTATTCTGTAGGCCAGGCTAGTCGGGAATTCATTACATAGCCTAAGCTGGCCTCAAATTCACAACAGTCTTTCAGCACACCAGCTGAAACTGAGATTTTTCTTTTTAAACTCAGTTTTAATTTTAATTATCATTATTTTTATTTCTTATTTTATGTGTATGTATGTATTGCCTACATGTAGGTAAGTGGACCTATGTCATGCAGTGCTCGCAGAAGTCAGAAGAGGCTGTCATACTTCCTAGGACTGGAGTTATGGACAGTTGTTAGCTGCCATGTGGTGCTGGGGTACCAGAAGAACCTGGGTCTTCTGCAAGAACAACCAATGTTCAATATTTTCTTTCTTTCTTTCTTTCTTTCTTTTCTCTTTTTGAGTCGGGGTCTCCTTGTAGCCCCAGCTGTTCTGGAACTCACTATGTAGACCAGGCTGGCCTTGAACTCACAAAGATCCGCCTTCCTCTGCCTCCCAAGTGCTGGGATTAAAGGTGTGCACCACCACGCTTGGCTATTTATTATTTTTATTTTATGTGTATAAGTGTTATGCCTGCATGTAGGTAAGTGCATCTGTGTCATGCAATGCCCAAGGACAACAGAAGAGGCTGTTAGATCCCCTGGAACTGGAGTTACAGACAGTCATTAGCTGCCATGTGGGTGCTGGGATTTGAACCCAGGTCTTCTGCAAGAACAGTCTGTGTTCTTAACTGCTAAGCCATCCCTTCAGCCCCTGAAACTGAGATTTTTAGGAGGTTTTTGTTGGGTTGTTTGTGTTGAGACAATTTTTGTAGCCTAGGCAGGCCTTGAATTCCTGATCTTCTTACCTTTAACCCACAAGTGCTGGGATAGGCCACCATGACAGGCTTGAGAATTGTATGTCAGTGTCCATTTTATAAGAAGCTGGGTGTGCTAGTGCAGGCCTTTAAACTCAGCACTCAGGAGTCAGAGGCAGGAGGATCTCTGTGAGATCAAGGCCAGCTTGATCTACATAGTAAGTTCCAGGACAGCTGGACCCTGTCTCAAAAAGCCAAAAACAGACAAACAGACAAAACAAAACCATTTTATATCAGAGCTTTTTTTTGCTGGAACTCACTATGTAGACCAGGCTGGCATTGAACTCAGAGATCTACCTGCCTCTGCCTCCTCATTGCTGGGATTAAAAGCTTGTGCCACCACACCTAGAGCCTTTATAGCAGAGCTTTAATAACTTTTTTTTTCTTTTTTTGAGACAGGGCCTCACTGTGGCCCCAAGCTGACCTGAAACTTGCTATGTTGACCAGGATGGCCTCAAACTCAGAGTTCTGCCTGCCTCTGCATCCTAAATGCTGGGATTAAAGGAGTGCCTGGCTTATAACTCTTAAGTGAAAATAATGTACTGGAATGATGGTGCACACCTATCATCTCATATCATGGGCATTGAGGCTGGGAAATTGTAAGTTGTAGCCACCTAGGCTATTTAATATGAAACTGTCTCGGGAAAAAACCCAACAACCAGGGGTGGGAGTGTGGGCTAGAGAGATGGCTCAGCAGTTAAGAGCACTGGCTGCTCTTGCAGAGGACCCAGATTCAGTTCCCAGTATCCACATGGTGCCTAAGAACCATCCATAATTCATGTTCCAAGGGATCTATCACTCTCTTCTGACCTCCGAGAGCATTGCATGTCACCAGTGCACTTACATACATGCAGGCAATACGCTCATAAAATTAAAATAATAATAAATAAAATATTAAAAATAGCCGGGCGTGATGGCACATGCCTTTAATCTCAGCACTTAAGAGGCAGAAGGCAGGTGGATCTCTGTGAGTTCAAGGCCAGCCTGGTCTACATCATGAGTTCCAGGACAGCTGGGGCTACAGGGAGACCCTGTCTCAAAAAAAAAAAAAAGAC